ACTTGATGAAGCCAAGCACGATTGATCAAGTATTGAAGGACTACTTGAAGCAATCAAGGATTGAACTTGAGCAAGACAGTCACGAAAGCAATTTTGAGGTTTGGATTTAACAAGTGAAGCAGTGGCGGCCGCGGCATGAACTCTTCAGCAATGGCGTTCAAAAACAGAGGTGAGTAGAGGTTGGCTTGGCATGGCTATGGGCGCAACGGAAAGAAGCGGCGGTGGCAGTTTTCTAGCAACTTGAGGACAATAAAGAAGACCCAAGATGAATCAATATCTTGACCTAAAACTCCTCAAAAAAGTGTTTAGCTTTTGGGAGTGCACAGCAGAACACCCAATACCTTCACCCATGGAGATTACCAAGAGGGAGCCCAAGTCTAAATTCCTCAACTTATCCAATTAGACTCATCTTCACTCAAAATCTTAAGTCCATAAGTTATGGGCCAACTAGGATATATCAACTACTCCATACAACACCAATTCTCAAATGTGAGACTTCTCTAAAACAGCTCACGCGTGTATCTCAACAATCACCTACTCATGTGTGACTCAGTGTTAAGTCTTCTCCCCTTAATCCATGTATCCTTCCACATCTGGATATCTCAACTCAAATCTCCATCTACATCTAACTTCATCCCTAGTCTCTTTCTTCAAATCCAACCATGAAGTTTACTATCGGGCTTGCATTGTTACACCCCAACACCCGCACGGAAACTACGTTGGTTAGTAGAGTCCTTCCTTAAGATATTCACCAAATACCGGAACAAGAACTCACTGATTTACCATCGGGTTTGACACCATCTGCTGGGAGTGCGTGATAGAACACCCCATATCCTAAGTAGCACCAACACCGACATGCGCCACAACACGACACGTCGACACGTCATTTCTCAAAAAATAGAAAATTCTTATATGTTGGGACATGTTGTATATTAAATATATACATTTATATATACATGATAAATTATCATTTTTATGATTAATTTGATTGAAATTCACAAATAATTAAATAAATAAAAAGAGTATCGGACGAGTGTTAGAGTCCGACACGTGTCTGACACCGATACGGAGGCCCCGGAGAGTGTCCGTGCTTCCTAGCCGATACCTTCACTCGAGAAGATCATCAAGAGAGAGCTTAAGTTCGAACTCGTCAACATATCCAGTTAGATCCATATTTACTCAAAGGCTTAAACCAAAGAGTTGTTGGCCAACTAGGATATATTAAATTCTTCACACCGCACCAATTCTCCGACGTGGGACTTATCTAACACAGCTCATAACTGTATCTCAACACAGCTTCGTCATCCCATCTAACACCTTCCTTGCAAACTCAATTTCCCCCTCCACAACGCAACCAATGGCAATAGAATTTGGCAGACAATAAGAGAACGGAAAAAACAAAACAGAACAAAAAGTAGAAGATAAATTAGAAAGTAATCGAAGTCATATTTAGAATTTATTAAACTCCATGGAGAAAGTCTGAACGCGGTGCATTGGGAAAGGCTTTCCTCTATTGTCATTGAAATAACTTAGAGATTAAATCGATTGCTCATTGACCAGCGCTATCACAGCGGGAAGACTCATGGATACTGTCGCGCCAAAGGCTGCTCGAAGAAGAATCGCCAAGTCTTTGCCTGTTTTCTCCATGCAAGCCACTTGTTCAAATCTAGTCGGCTCCGCCACCATGACAGTAGAACCGATCGACCAGATATCTGTCACAGCGAAGGCAGAGGGACGAAGAACGCCTCATCGATCATGGAGTAGCTACGGCAACCATGGACGATGGCTCATTCGGCGCTTCAGACAACGACGATGGAGTGTTTTCATTGTCTGCATAGACTTGATTGAGCAATGATGTAGACGACTTGGACTTGTTTCTTAATAAAAAAATCCACGTGGACTTTCTTTTTCTCATAAGAAAATCTACATAGACAATAATATCTAATTAAAAACGTCATTTAGGACTTTTGACCGCGGAGGCACTTAAATGATAGTTTTTTCTCCGATATAACACTTAAGTGATCTGACGAAAAATTTTGATATTAAAGTGAGCACCGTAGAAAATTATAGTACTTCTAGTGCCATTTTCTCCGAATTTCAAGAAAATATTCTGATACGTCTAGTCCTCCTCTTTTCGAAATCCATGTGGAGTATTCAAAGGCAGAGTACGTGTTGCATGCATAGCCCTTCAACAATCTTCTCTTGATCAAAAGGTACATCTCATGTATGTACGTACTTGTGTTTGGCTTCGTGAATGCACGTTCCACGTTTAGCAGAAACAGTCAAACGCAATGATATGCAAGAGTGGGGTTCAGAACGTCACTTCATTGTATCATTCAAGTGACCATGAGCACATTTTGTCTCATGTAACTGTCTGCTAATGCTCTTCCACTAAAAGCAGAGGTTGACGGGCTTGACCGCCAATAGTGCTAAGCACCATACCCCGTAATAGTGAAAAAGTCTCGTGGCTCGTGATTCACCACGTTGAGAAAAGGTACGAATCTTTGGTGATGCTGCTTGGCAAGAAGTCCTGCCCTAATCAATGCGCACTAAGAAGCATTTCAGACTTTTTGTATCTGCCTGTGAAGCTTCCTACTCGTTATCTTCATGAAAGGGTAATGTAAGTGTTGCCAAAACCATATAAAATTGAGAGTGTAATGATCAAGAGTAAGCCGTTTAATTGTATATGTATAGCTAATCTTCTGGAGCAGATTTAGGTAATGTGCAAATCTAATGTTACTCGGTGGTAGTTGATGATATGCACATGTGGGTAGTTTGGAATATGATGGGTATGAAAATTGGTTTCCTAGTTTATGTCGGTAACGATAATAGGTTTCTTCATTCGCCTACCATGAAGAGAAACAAAATAGTCGCAAGATGATGATTCCCAGCCCTACCAACCCCAAAACCCATTTTTGATTATTTGCTTTCCCATCGCCAGCATGTTTCCATGAAGTTTCAGTTCCCTTTCACACGATAGTAATCTAGTCATTGTTAGTCAAAACCAAACTTTTGCAACTTCCCGCATAATTGTTATAAAGAAAGCAAAAAGACCATGTAAACAAAATAGGACCATTTGGTGTTTTGGTGATGTTACATGCATCACTGAGTGATTCAGACGTTTCGAGAGAGAGAGAGATGGAGCCTGGAGTTTTCCTTCCACCAAAACAAGTCCTCTTTACAATTTTCTTTATGGATCTGATCTGATCCAGTTTTTTTTTTTTTGGTCAAGGATCTGATCCAGTTGAGTTGATGAAAAGTGGGGGAAATCTAGCAAGCTGTGTTGTGTGTGTGAACTCGATTCTACTACTGTTGAGCGATGCTTCCTTGAAACCAGAATGACGGGCCCAACAGTTTTGGAGTGCCTTTCAAAAGGCAAAATCATTTGCAAGAAAAGACTTGCAACTAGTTGAAATCTTCGTGGTGGAGGTTGCTGCCTCAGCATCATCTTTTTAAAGTCATTTTGGAAAGAACCCAGAACCATCATTTTGTTTTAAAAATTAACCCTCAGCATCAGATTCACGTGGTGTCAATTTCACTGTGTATGGGTGAATTACATGCCCAATGATAACTTCCACCTTTAAGAAAAGCAAAACTTCAACCTTTAATTTATTATGTTGTCTTTCATGATAACTCACGATGCCAAAGAATTACGTCACGTGCGAATTTTATGAGCCATCGGCCTCTTCAATTGGCAAAAGCAAAGGTGATGAAAGAGAATCTGAGGAACTAAGTTGCGATCCATGGTAGCGGTCCCGAGTGGTCCAAGTGGATACGATCAGAAACCAGAATTTTATCATGTACGACAAAGCTGCGAGTAGATGAAATTGGCATTGACAACTAAATCAACCTTAGCAAGCAAAGTGTATGGTTGGTGGCTGAGGAGCATTGTGGTATGATGCAGTAGGTGAAAAACAGTAGGACTAGACTGAGGTAGTTGAGTATCAACTTCACATGGGTTGTTGGTGCGAACTCATGTCAAACAGGGGCCACTTCTGGGTTGTAGGAGAGGACTTCGAGCAAGAGAGCATGCTTTTCCATTACCTAACACCTGCTTACTACAAGCACTCCTACTTATATGTTCTCTGAAGAAGCCCTTCACCATCTGCATGCAACTGGAGAGATTCTTGGTGGAGGTAGTTGGCACAATGAAGATCCAAGAATCTGAAGGGATCTTCTTGTAGCAGAGGAGTGTCGGATTAAAAAAAGTTTGGACAAGACTTCACTATGAAACCCTCTTTGATTGGGGGTGCTTTGGACTTGGGGATGATTTTGGCCCTGCAATCTGCATGCTCTAGTCCACACCAAAAAGTACCCACGAGAAATTCTTAAAAACAAAATTGCAGGAATGGTCTTTGTCCAACATGAGTAGGCTATGCAACTGTTCATTACGTTGTCCTTGAGCCATCATCTCTCAAATCAACTTGAATTAGAGGTGTTGAAAGATAGTGGATCACAAGGGTCAAGCCCACCACAAGCCCAAACAACATCAAATGACTAGTGCTTCCAGGCTGAAACCTCGTATTTGCACATTATTAGTAAGCCAAACATTTAAGGCTTCCCTTTTCTGTATTGTCTTCATTTCACGAGATGCTATCCTGAGAATGTTTATCAGACACAGTTACTGCAAGTTGAACTCATCGTTTTCTCAGCACAGGCCAACAGGGCTCTGGCTTCTTGTAATCTGATCTTCCCAAAGGCAACCGTCCCTATTTTCCGGGCCCTTGTCCTCAAACAAGGACAGACATTTGCAATTATTATGGACAATAAACCATGTAGATTCGTTTCTTATCTCCAACCCGATCGACCCGATCAATTTGACACAGAGCAGAGAGATATTGTATCTGGAATATACTTGTTCTTCACTTGCGTTGGTGGACTACCCTTTCTTCTTCCGAAGATGTACGGTATTATAACCATTACCAACCCTTGGCTCAACAATATTCAATAACAATGAGCTTACAAAAGTTTTTGGGACCCAAACTCAAGTGCAAAATAGATTAAAGAAACCAAAGCAAACGGTTCAATGAAGAAACGAATATGAGAATCTGCCGGTCATCAATCACAGGCTCAGGAAAAGAAAGCCAAATGACCACACACCAGAAACCCCGAGTCATAAAAAAATAAACCAAGAGCGAATGGACTTCCCCTACAACTCGGTGTCACAAAGTCTAACCATCAAATCAGAAACCATTCTTCGGGCAAAAGGAATGTAGCTTAAACTGTACCTGAAATATAGCAAACAAAGTAGTTGCTTTAGCCTTTACTGAGCTAAAAAATGATACAAGCTACAAAGACAACAGTCAAACATAATGTTCTTTCATCACCAGTAACTCCGTCACGAGCCAAAAAGTCAACAAGAGAAATGCCAAGGCGTAAATATAGCAAGCAAATAGACAAAAGAAAACAACAGACTCACCAGAAAAGGGCGCAGATCTCGCAAATGATTACTACAATGGTCAAAACTTTACTATGTATCTGAAAATTAGGATCATGAAAAAATAAGAACATTTTGTGAGAATATGACTAGCTGCCTCTATCTAAACATTATATATGCAAAGATGTGCCTTAAGCCTGTACACCCATAGGGAATATTGCACACGCTAGATACAAATCAGTGAAGAGCACCGTCAGAGACTAAATGGACGAGATCACTAGACACTGAAGGCCACAGGACCATACAGAAGTGATTGGTTTCGACCATCCACAAAAGTCCTCATGAGCAGTGCCCATCTTGTATGTTAAAGGGCGGTGTCGGGAAATGATAGACAGAAAACTTTGTGAGAAGTGCTCTGATATTAAACTCTATTTCCAACTATTTCATCGAAAAATGCAACATAGGACTGTTGAGCTTTAAAAAAGTTTCAACAATCAAGATCTAAGTAAATTACAAGGGATAATTACATGGAGAACCAAGTGAAGCACACCGCATAGCCAGGTAGAAAATGCATCAGAGGAAGGAATAATTTCCAAAGCAGAGAGTCACATAAGAAAATACTCCACTAGCAAGAAAAAATTAATAGGAGTAAAATTAGATTAAGGAAAACTTTGAAGCTCAAAGAATCCATTTTAGTGTCTCCTGCATTATGTTTGCTATGAGAAAAACATCTTATCAGGATAAAATACTTACCCAAAGAGCACAGATGAGAGCCAAAACGACACATCCAAGGTAAATGGCAGTTGCAAAGACTCGAGTTGGGTCAAACATCATCCTCATTTGTTGTGCAGCTCCAATAAGAAAGACTGTGCTGCCAGACAGGAAAAAAAATTCAGAATCTGGAACGACAACTTATTCTATGGGGCGATTCCTGGAGATATGTAGATAATTCTAATCACATGCATGCGGACCAATAGCAGTAACATTTGCTCTTTATCTAAAGAGGTAACATGGCAAAACAATAATTAAAGTGGTGAGATAATACGTGCAACATCTACAACACCTAGTATGGTCAACCATTGTTGGAGGCTTTAACTCTTGCCTTTCCAAGAAAAGATGAACAATTTATACAGATTACAAGAGATAACACTGCTCTATTCTTAGGAACGATGAACGAGCATTGGGACTAGTCACAGGGAAAGCACCAGAGAGAGGGTAAAAGTGAGCTTTCTCATATAAACTGAATTAGACAAATTAACGAATAAAATGTCGGGCATAACTTTGATGGGCGAAAGCAACATACGAAATATTATAACTAGGTATATGGAGCTAAGACATTATTCTCTGCTCAATGACCAAATTTCACTCACCTGCCAACGGCCAAAAGATTGCCGCAGGTGAAAACAACTGCGAATTTGATAGGCTTCGCAAACACAATCAATGACTGCGAGAAGCGAAGTCAAAGGAAATAAATCTTAGTATTGCAGTTCCAAGTTTCAGCAAAAGGGTTAAATTCCAAAAGGCGGAAAAATATCACATTTGGAACTCATCCATCACCGTGAATGGTTCCCAAACAAACAACCAAACATTCTCGCCCTCAATCTTTCATTTCCGAGCAAGCAAAAGATAATGGCGCAACATTCAACATGATAATCAGCAAAGCAGAAAAGCAGTAAGCATTGTGGCAAAATGGAAAGCAGGCTTGCAAAACGGCCGAACCGCGAATCACCCAGAAAGCACAAGAATTTCGACACGCAGCAATGAGCAGTTGAATCGAACCCACTGAGATGGCGCGCGTGATCTTACCAGGAACATACATACGAGGCCGACGAGAAGACACGCTGCGAAGGCGTAGACTCTCTGCTCCACGCCCACCCCGGAAAAAGAGAGAGAAAACCCAGGAACGGCATCAACGGGGAGGATCAAACAAGGCATGGGCATGCGCAGAATCGGCCGAAAAGAGGAAGGAAAAGAGCGAACTCGACCTGCATAGGAGAGAGATTGCAGACACCATCTGAATCTTCAGCCAAGAGCTCATCTTGGCCGCCACCTTCTTCCCCGCCGAACAATGACTGGTTCAGCTTCCACATCGCGCTCGAAGGTTTGGACCTCGCGGTTTCGGATTCGCGCTTCGCATCGGCAGAAAGGAAGCTCCTTTGAAGGAGCCGGAAGGAAAGATGGTTTGTTTGTGCACCGAGAAGAGCGAAGGGAGAGAGAGACTTTGCAAATGGAAAATGGTAAAGGAGGTGATTAAGAAAATCAATGGTTAATACCACCAAAAATCTAAATTGATATTTGTTGTGACAATTTTATCTCGAATTAATTTTTTAATTATAAAAAAACTCTAAATTGCTATATCTAAAGTAAATTTACCTCAAACTAATTATTTGATCACCAAAAATCTCAAACTAGTGTGTTTGTGACAAGTTTACTATCCGTTAAATTAGATTAATATCACGAAAGCCCACAAATTGGTAAACCCGTGATAAATGAAAGGGTAAAACCCCAAACTAGTACACCCTGCCACATATCATCCAATTCAGCAATTTGACAGTAAAATTGTCACATGTATACTAGTTTGAAGTTTTTGGTAGTCAAAAAATTAGTTTTAGATAAATTTATCGCAGATATACCGGTTTGAGATTTTTCGTAATATTAATTCAAAAATAAAATGAATTTGCCAAAAAGGAGGATTTTAATGTTCGTATCACGAATTTGTAATGGGAAACTTCTTCTAAACAGTAAACAGCTGTTTTTTTATTAGCTTCTTAAAAATTTATTTGCTGAAAGAAACTTAAGACCATTTGAATTAACGAATTAAGAACATAATCCTCGAAAGCAAATCAACTGAAGTGATTTTTTTATAGAGAGGATTATGCTTAGAGCTAATGACGGGTCATGCAAATTGGTAGATTCAGATATCTCTCGTAGTTAATCAATTTTTCTGCAACATGTTATACAACTATTTCACAATTTTCCGAAGCTTTAAATATTTTTATATTTACTATAAAAGTACTTCCAAAGAATCTAATCATAAAGTAATGCAGTCTAGACAATATAAGCATAAGCATTATCTAGATGTTTAAATTAAAAAACATCAATTATCTCTCTTTTGTGTTTCTCACTTTTATAAACTTATTCGCGTTAATTGTCAAGCAAAGAGGAAATACAAGCGATTTGTTTTATAAAAGTATTTTTTAAATCATTTATTTTCCATTAAATAAAGGGAGCTTTGAATGGTCCATAATACGATTTGAATAGCCAATTTCCTTTTTTCTTTTTTATCGTAGATAATTCTAAAAAGGGAAAATGACATAAATTTTTTTTGAATTTAGCCTAATCTGTAATGCGATCTCTCAATTTTTAATTTATTCAATATGATCCTTGAACTTTAACCCAATGTGCAATGTGATTCTTGACCTTTTAATCTATTATTTTGATTTCAATGATGTCCCCGATCTTGAGTTAAAAGAAAGACCACGTTAAGCATTTTCACACATGTACCAAATATTCGGGACCACATTGAATAATAGACTAAAGTTCATGGATTAAATTGAATAAATTAAAAATCGAGGGATCACGTTACATATCGAGCTAAAATGAAGGGACGATTTGTGTCATTAACCTTTTTAGAAAACTCCGGAGTTACAGATGGGGCGAAACGACCGCGTTTGTATCGTCGTTTTTGTCTTCGACGTCCTTCCATATCCATCCCTGACGCGAGCGAGCGAGCGAGCGAGCGTCGCCTTCTGCTACTCTCCGCCATTGCTCGAAACCCTAAAACCACCCCCGGAAATCCCCAAAATCGGTAGAGAGAGAGCGCGCGCGCTTCCGCCGCATCAGCTCGAACCGAGGGAGGCGCCGGAGAGACACGATGTCGTCGACGTTGCTGGAGGTGACGCGGGCGGCCCACGAGGAGGTGGAGCGGCTCGAGCGCCTCATCGTCAAGGACCTCCAGAACGAGCCGCCGAGCAGCAAGGACCGGCTCTTCCAGAGCCACCGCGTCCGCCACATGATCGACACCATCGCCGCCGCCACCGAGAAACTCGTGAGTCCGTTCTCCCGATCGGCCGCCGCCGAGGAAGGCCGCTCGTGCCATCGCCGAGCGCGCTTTCCGGTGCGCCGGTTCCGGTTTTTAATGAAGCGAGAGCGTTTCGGTCGAATTGCGGCATAAGTTCGCTTCGTGCTCAATGTTTTCTCTTCTGCAAATTTTTTTTTTTTTGTTTTTAGATTGAGGTATATGAAGATAAGGATGGTGCTAGGAAAGACGAGATTGCGGCTTTGGGAGGCCAGACTGCCACAGGAACGAACGTCTTCAGCGCTTTTTATGATAGGCTGAAAGAGGTGATCTGTTCTCTTGAGTATTTGCATATATACTGCGACATGGATCCGTAATTTTTCGCTTTGTGATTCGCGAGAAGCGAAATTGTCTCGTGGTTAAAATGTCTGTGGTTATAAATTTCTGAAGATTTTGGAGTAGCTTTTGCCGGGTGCCTCTCGGCGGTGATTCCTAAGCTGACAATTAAGATGTATCATCTGTTTCAGATACGCGAGTACCATAGAAAGCACCCGGCTGCTCGTGTTGTTGATGCCAATGAGGAGTACGAGGTGCTTCTGAAGGAGGAACCTCAAATTGAGTTCAGTGGGGAGGTGGGTCTTCGCCTCCTATTTAGCAATGCTTGTTTTAGTTACGAGTTACCATGCCATGTCTTGTCTTTTAGTTTGAATCGGATGGAATGTATGCTTTGTTGCCTCCATAGTTGTTTTCAAATTTGCATTTTTTTTGTTTGTCCTCTCTCTCTCTCCGTCTAGGATGGAGCTCTTATCTAGCAAAAACAATAAAAAGTCTCGTGACATATTCCATCCTCTTTTCCTTTCCATTCTTTTCTCGTGATGGAGAGCTTGTATGATCCTTTAGCAAATTGGATCGCCTTGATTATATCTTCTAATTGATTCATCCAGTTCGCAATCCTTTTAGTTTTTTCAACGCTTCTTGTTTTTAAAATATACATTAAATTGGAGGACAAGATTTTGGTTTAATGTATATGAAGACAAATTTTCTCAAACTGAAATTTTCGTGCATTTGCTTTAAGGTGCAGGATTGTGGCTATGAACTTTCCTTCAGCTAACATATTTCTTCTCGTTTCAGGAAGCTCTTGGCCGATACCTGGACATGCACGAATTGTACCATCAGTACATCAACTGCAAATTTGGAGAGCCCATCGAGTACTCTGCTTATCTTGATGTTTTCTCGCAGCCAGAGAGGATTTCTAGGAAATTGAAATTAACTAGGTAAATTTGGATTATCTTTTTAATCCAAAGTTTGGTAGGAGATCGAGTAGTTCTTTTATTCTCATGTTGTAGTTGATGCCGATCTTGCTTGTATGGCTGGCGCAGGCAGTATAAAGAATATCTGGAAAATCTTCTGGAATACCTTGCATATTTCTTTCAGCGAACAGAGCCTCTGCAAGATCTGGATAGGATATTTGCAAAGGTTTGATTCTTTATATGCTTAATTTCATTTTCTGAGTCATTATGGTAGTTTATTACCTATAATTTGCGAGTTCTGTCAATGGAATAAATGTGCTGCAGTTTCAATTTAGATTTCTTGTGCGAACCTTTTGGTTAAAATCTACGGTTGCGCGGTGTTCAAATAAAATTAATAACCATGTGGTGTCGAAATGTAGTGGTATGGCAATTTGTTAACCATAAATAGCCATCCTAGCTAAATGGTGACTCTGTCTTTTCTACTTGCTTGTTAAATTTAAGTTATTGATGCAATTTGGCAGGTTGAGGGTGATTTTGAAGAAGAATGGGCAGATAACAAAGTTGAAGGGTGGGAGAATGGGGGTCAAGAAAATGGACATGCTGCATTGCTGAATACGGTGATTGACCTGGACTATTATAGCTCTGTTGAGGAACTGATGGAAGTCGGTCCTGAGAAGCTAAAGGAGGTAATTTAAATTCATCCCAATCTTCCGATTGTAATTGCTACAGCCTTTTTGTGGTCGTGTTTACGATTTTATTTCTCTAGTCTGTTATCTTGATGCCATAATCAGTTCATTTGCACGAGTGTGGTTTTTCAGAGCCACAAGCTCGATGGTAAAAGGCGTAATTGTTGTTTGTGGCTTTGTAGTAGTTTGTTTAATTAGAGCTAGCAACTTGTGCAAGACATGCAATTTGGGCGATGACATTTTCCCATTCCATCCTGTGTTATTAATAGCTATGATAGATTGCTAGTTTAGTGCTTTTTAAACGGATTTGTGTTTGTTCTTGGCATTATTTCTAATGGTCGTCAACTTGAAAGTTCTTTAACCAAAAAGAACAACTGGGAAATTTTTTACTACGAGCTTAGGATTGCCTGCGACTGCTATAATCTCTATCATCTAACATTTCATGTTGTTGGGAATTGTCTGAAGTGACGGCTTCTTTTGATAGCTGGTTATAAATGGTCATCGTTTTAACACTTTGAACAGAGTAATCTATATAAATTACAATGTGGTAGTCAAACCTGTCTATCTATTTATTTGTTTATTTTTCTTTTGATAGGTGACCCTAAGCCTGGGCTGAAGGCAAGTTGTATTCCCAATTTGGATAAAGGCAAGTACAGAACCCAGGCCCAGGGGTCTGTCATCCGAACTGTGCTCTGAGCTAGATAGTGCCTTGTTGGAGCTATTTGTCTGTCTTGTTGGCTTAGTTGAATTTGAAATCGTGAAATTCTTGTAGCTCCTGACTGTTTATCTGGCCTTTTCTTATGGCTAGTATTGGAAATGTTCACATTTTTGGAACTTGAGCAGCTTTTTTATTTTTTATCATTGCCACGTTGTGTACATGGACTAGGAAAGCTTTTATGCTGTTTTTCTTTTGGCTGATAAATTCAAACTCTACTTCACAGTATTTGATGGTTAATTGTGATTTGGCAGGCATTGGCAGCTTTAGGATTAAAGTCAGGTGGCACAGTTCAGCAGCGTGCTGAGAGACTCTTCCTTACAAAGGTAAGGTGCTCATGTGCAGCAAGATACATAAATTTAGACTTATATGGGTGTATCAAGTGTGCTTGTGTATGTTTTTGACGTTCTTAATCCTTAATCCTTCATATCATTGGTGGAATTTTTGTGTAATAACTACTTTTTCTTTTTAGGTGATCCTTTCTTGCTGAACTACTCACACAGACCAAAAAAAAAAACAAAAGAAGAAGCCAAGCTGTAATGATTTTAACTGAAAACCAAGAAAATGCTGATACTAATAGCAAAAATAGTTTTAATTCTGATCAAGCAAAATAAAATTCACAGAAGAATTTGATGACAGTTTCTTTAGAGACTTTAGTGTTGATTTTGAAAAAAAAATGCTGCTCTTGTTTGAATTGAGGGTTGGCAAAAGCTTTCAATTGTAGGCCGCCCCATCATATTGAGGACAGATCATGGCTATTGTCATGGTGGTTACAAATGTGTTGCTAACCATTAATATATTTTCTTTGCGGTAACTCTGTCCTCATTATTGGTTTGCATGCAGTCGATAGTGTAATATATGCGAATCTTAATAAGTGGTGGGTTATATCTACGCTAAGATATTTATTCCTAGCGTGGGTCTGTTTCAATTTCCAATATTGTGATGTGATTACTATTTTTCTAATGTTCATTATTCAATTTATGCAGCATACGCCTCTTGATAAGTTGGACAAAAAGCATTTTGCAAAAGGTTCTCGTGGGTCAGAGCAGAATGGTGTAGCTATGGCTGTCCAACAGACAGACAATGGGAAAGATATTGCTTTGATGGAGGCTAAAGTGAAAAAACTCTGCTCGCTGCTTGAGGAGGTGAGTGATGTACATCCATTAATATTTAGAAATATCTTGTAACCTACTTATGCATGGAGATAGGCTCAGTTTTATTTGTGAGTACATGTATGAGGATGGCTCACATTTTTTATGTTATTTTTTTCTCTCATAGTAACTGCTTAACTTATGCACACATGTTCTGTGCTCACAACCAGATATAGCCGCATGAGTGTCCATATTTGAATGTGAGGAAATGTACAACTGCTCCCTCCCCCACATCCCATAAAAAAAAACCGGAAAGAGAAGTAGAGAGGAAAAACTTGCCCTCTTAATTTCTTGCCTTGATGTTTCTGTGTTGATGTTCTTTGGATTCTGCAGACAATTACTCGAACAAAAGAAAATGTGGAGAAAAAGCAAGCTCTGACATACGAGGAGATGGAAGCAGAACGCGAGGAGGTGCTTAATCATACCTCTTTTTAGACTTTGGAAATTCTTTATGATATTTAGTTTATAATAGATATTTCACCACTATGAAGACCTTGGGAACAAATACTGTATGTATTAATGTTAGCCATGTATGTGATGTCTTGCTGTGCCTGCATTAGTCATGACCTTCTTAAACTCGATCAAGCTTTTCTCACATGGAGCTGGTTTTTCTATTTGTACCCATGCATGCCAGCAGGTTACTCCCCTCTTACACCTCTCATGCTACTGGAGTAGCGAGTAGGCAAACTGCCTGGTAACAGGCAATTTTCCAATTGGCTTTAGGAAAATTCTGAGAAAATTTGCAATTGAAACTTGGGAAGACCTATTTGAATGAGATGGATCTCAGCAGTATAATTGCTAGTATAAGGGCCTTTAGCTTAGAAACACGTGCTGTGTGCTCAGAATGGAGCATGTTCTTAAAGTCTTTAATTTCGTTTTAGCGAGGGGTTTATTCACATTTTGTGATGTTGGTCAGGAGCTGTTTGAAGTAGATAAGTTACTTGGGTTTTGGTCTATTCTAGTCATTGTTTACAATAGCTTGATGAATTGGGAATGGCGTGCAGGAAGAGACTCAGGCTGACACTGAAAGTGATGATGACGAGCAACAGATATATAACCCCCTCAAATTGCCAATGGGTTGGGATGGGAAACCTATACCTTACTGGCTCTATAAGCTTCATGGTCTTGGTCAGGTATGCCCATACCTCCTCATCTTACCTTTATCTCTTCTCTGTCCGCCTTTGATTTTTTTCCCAAGTTGCACTTAAAATGGTGGATGCTGTACAGTCCTTAACTTTTCCAATTTTCGCCTTGTGCATACTGATTCCCACAATATACTGGCTTTTATGTATTAGAGGTGCTCTCCTTTCCTTTCTTCCTGGGCAAGATAAGATAACCCTTGCCCACTGCCTTGAGATTGCTTGTGATTGTGCACAAGTGCTGCAGCTTCTAAATGAGAGGGAGAATGAAATCCAGAAGCCATGATGTATTTTTCTCTATTGAGGTCGTGTCTAACAACTCCGTTTCTCAGGAATTCAAATGCGAAATATGTGGCAACCACAGTTACTGGGGACGGAGGGCTTTTGAGCGGCATTTTAAAGAATGGCGGCATCAGCATGGCATGCGGTGTCTTGGCATACCAAATACAAAGAACTTCAACGAGATTACATCCATCCAGGTAAGACCCTTCCTTCAAACTTTTCTTTGACTGAACTTATTGCAAAATATCTTGGTTTCCAACCAGAAAACTAATAAGTCAATAGAAATCATTTGCTAGCGATAAGGATGAATTTAGTGGTTTTCTGTTCCTGTATGAAAGAGATCTAGGAATGTACTGACGTTGGTGCCGTTTTCGTTCAATAAAAGCTGTTAAGCAGTTGTATGAGGTATCAAAGAATATGTTAACTACGAATGAACTGGATTAAAAACGCATCATCTGCCTATTTGCTTCTTATAAGGCCTAAATGAGGGTGAGCAAGGGAAGATTGGCCATGCTGGCACCAGAGAAATCCACTTTCGAATTTTGTCTTATGGGCTGGTTTTGAAAATGCGTGACCGTGATCTTGGAAAACGCATCATGTGATTCACCCAAAAATGACTTAACAGAGCTTCCGCTATCGTGCAGGAAGCACAAGAACTCTGGGAGAGAATACAGGAGAGGTCGGGACTGAACAAGTGGCGCCCGGATCTGGAGGAAGAATACGAAGACAAGGAAGGCAACATCTACAACAAGAAGACTTACACCGATCTTCAGCGCCAGGGTCTCATCTAAGGCACCAGATCCCAGTAGCTTTCCAGTTTCTTGTAATTGTAGGAAGGAATAGTGTGATTCTCATGTGCTTTGGAGGGACGGCTGCAACTAAACACATTCGAAAAATCCTTTCGCTTTAGTTTTTGGGTTTTGATAGCACTCAAGACCATTTTTTGTATAAGGGGGCTTGCTCCTGTTCTAATTCTAAGCGCTACAGTGTAATGCTAAACTTCTTGCACCCAATCTGCTTTATTCATCGGTGTCATGGGTTATGTGACTGATATTTCCTTCTATATGCAGCAGAGAGAAGAATTGTAAGCCCAAAGTGCTACTTGACAATGAGAATTAAGAAAGCATGAGCTGAGTATATAACGAAATCTATGGAGATCTATATGAAAATGTAAATTATCTAATGAAAGTTTGGCGCTCGAGAGGAAATTTTGGAAAAAGTTAAATTTTTTGCATGATTTGCTTTGCAAGCATGGGTGTCATAGACCTTGTCCGAGGTGCATCCGTGGGTAGGCAATGTCAAATTGCAGGATCTCAGGCATCTTGAGAAGGGCGGCTCGTTTAACGGACGAGCATTTCATGCCAGAGAATGAATATGTCGTGTGGAACAGAGAACCAGAAGAATGCTGTACCATTCTATGTACTGAACTGTTACAGACCGTGGCCGGAAGGAAGAAACCCTCATCACCTTGGATTTTCATCCCCACAAGATCTCGTGAACAACAAGGCCGACCCATTGACACTCCGAAGCACTAGAAGCCTGGAGTCGACATACGTACCACACACGAGTCTCGACAAGTCAAACATTTCGGGAGGGATTTGGGTTCTGACTTCTTGGAGTACTTTCTTGGCACTATCAACCTCCTGATTCAATGGCCGACCGAGGTTGAGCAAGAGCTCGATGTCATCGGACACGAACGTGGCCACAGGAAGGCTCGAAGGGAACTCCTTATAAGGAATAGCTTTTCCCCACCTTCCACTGGCAAGTTTCTGGAACAAAGCATCTCGGTCGATCGACTGACTGAGCGAAAAATAGCCCTTGCTATTTTCCTCCTTCAGATAGAGCTGTCTACCGGCTTTTAAATTGAAAACAGAGTTCACTTGCAACTGTCCAGCTACACCGCCCTTGTTGTGGGGCCAATCCGGGCCAATCAAGGCGGAAAAGCTAATCTCAGATGTCATCGAAAGATTAGTGCTCGACTCAGATGGTCTTGAGACAACAAGGTGCGCATTTCCTATAAGCGCCCGGATAGGAGGTTGGCGGAGAGTCAGTCCTATATGCCTTCCAGTGTAATACAAGAGACGCCATTTTCCCGGCATCAATTCCAGCCAATTCTGCTCGTTGTTGAACAACATTATAGAACAAGCTTCAGTTAAAATAAGACACAAAAATGAAAAACAAAAAAAATAGTTTCGATTACTGCAGAATCCCCAGAGAACTGGTTTATTTTTTACTTTTATCAATGTCATTTCACTGAATTTCTTTTCTCCATCGAAGCCAGTTACCTGGCACAGGTTGGTCCAGTAAAAGAAGACATGATCTTTAGATACTGAATATTTGGCGTGGGGGTGAGAGGACATTGGCCACTTTTCCGAGGATTTTCTAGTGGTCTTACTTATCAGTCACTAAAGCAGTTTGAAGGAAGGGGTAAAGACTAATGGATTTTCAACTACCAAAGTCTATTGCCGAGTCTTTGTAGGTTACAATTGCTAGAGCATTCATCTCTTCGGACAAAATAATGATAATTTTGTGTTCAAACAGACAAGAAAGCTAAAGAAGGAGAACTGAAGAAGGAGAAAGCGAGGGAGGAAAGTAGAGCAGAGTTACCTTTGGCTTTGTATGAGGATTCAGCATCTCCATTAATTCAATAAAGTGGGCCAGCCTACCGCGCTTAACAAAGTAAAGGAAAATTAGAAGTTAGTGCAACTTCAATATCACGGGCTTTTGGAAAATCGAAGAGGGGGAAAAATCATGCTATCTATTCTTTCCAACAAGGCTTTTTTGCTAACTACTGGTCAGACTGAAGGTGTCCATTTACTTTAGAAGAGCATAAATGAAATTTGCTCATTATTGTGTAAGGCAACGAAAATTTTGCTCAAGGAGAATAAGATGAGAACAAGGACTCAGAAAAAAAATAAAAGACGACAATAAGCATGGAAGTAAGATTGAAAGGTAAAAGAACATGAATCACCTGACGCTGAACATAGATATATTCCTCTGTAATTCTTACAGCAGTCGAACCAAGACCCCATCTGATTATATTCATTGATGGCATCACTCGCCATCTTGGTCCACACAGAAACGGGTGTCTCAGGGCCTCCAGACAACTGGCGTAAATCACAAAGAGAGTCACGGACTAAATATTACATCACATGCAGCATTTATTTTAAATGAGTTCGTCTAAAAAATTATGATGGAGACAAGGTAAATTTATCATTGGTGAGATTTTCCTCCAGGGTCCACCACATCAACAAGCTAATTATGAGACGAGAAACAGTTCGAGGCATGAGGCATTTTACACTTAGCAAGTAGTTCACAATTGAAATTCATCGAGAGTGCCCCCGCCATGGCACTTGTTAAATAGCCAGGAAAGACAATTGTGCACTTTCCAATTCACCATTTTTATCGTGTTACGTGTCATCGGTAAATTGGAAAGCAAAACATCTCTCTATTATGTATGATTAATGAGTGCCCTTAAGGCAGTCGTTAACAAGACCCTCCACGTATTCATTTAGAGAAGTTTTGCATATCACATAATTGACCAAAACGCCATAAAACACTGGTTGCAAAATATCTGTCATTGATTCCGCATAATTATCCTTACAGGAACTTAAGATATATTACCTGATTCTTCTGGATGGTTTGGTTGCAAGCAGTAGAGACAAGAGATTCCAACCGGCACCCCAATTCCGATCAAGTATCTAGACACGAGAAGGTAGATTAATAATTGAATCTACAAGAATAAGTGAAAGCAACCCTTTAAATTCCAGAGACACCTACTTGAAGTCCGCAATTACCAGATGACGAGTTCCTGTCTAGGACTTGCAGCAAAAATTCACGCAGACATGAGGGGTCATTCCCCTGTACTAGCCAAAAAAAGGGAATTATCAGAAGTTGCACAAGTCCGATAAATGAACAAATTCACCATGCTGGCGGATCTGGCTCATTATTAAAAGATCATGTAGGTTGTATAGTACATTGAACCATTCACAATGATGACCAGAGAGTAATCTGAAGACCCAGTGGCTATTATCATGCATGTGTCCCAAGAAGTGTACCAAACTTGATAGACAGCCTAGCCTAGCATATATTCATGTAACAATCGAAGCACACGCCCCCTAGTTCTAGGTTTATCAGCCTAATAACTGTATTTCATTTCAATAGTTTGGTAGGTATTTCGCAAGTACTTGCAAGGTAGGTTTCTCATTTTCTTTTAGGGTTCTTCTTTTTGGCCAAGCATACTGGTGACGTAGTGTGTGTTTTTTTCCCCTTTTGGTGAAAAATACAGGTGAGGTAGTTAATTTAACTTTCTTCTGCTTGACAAGATAGGAACATCTCCAAAACTGCACTCGTCCACTATGAGGCGCAGAAAAAGCAAAACTGCCGTGAAGTTCTCTATATTTTCTGTCATTGCTTCCAAATTAATAATTGAGAGAGTCATTGCTCTGCTGCTAAATTACAGAGCATCGATATCTTGAGTTGGAATAAATCAGACTATGATTTTGTATAAGCCTGTTCCATAAAATTAAAGTCAGGACGCATGATTAAATGCCATTTATACCAAAGATAAAAGGAATCATCAAGAGATTGTGAATCCAAAAAATGAATGAAACTTGAAGAGATTCTATGTTTAATACCTTTGCAAAGAATGATTTGAATTTTGCAAAGATTAATGGATCCATGAGTTCCCGTGACACCATTTTTGCCATCATGAACCCAACACACCTATGCGATTCATAGAGAACGGTATCAGCTTCTCAGCATCTCCTATGAATTTAAAAAGAAAATGCAACAAAGCTCAGTTGCTTTCTTCCACCCACACCTCATGTCAAATGCAATCATCATCTGTCGTCTATCGAGGCTGCTATCCACTGTTGATATAATTGACCCCTCCTCATAAAAGTCCGCCGCATTTCCCAGTATGCCAACCTGATAATGATACAATAGAAGCTTAATACTACCCAAAACTGTCCACCTGACAAAAATTTCAGGCATATTGACAAAGTAATAGCAGACGCGATCAGACAGTGAGGCGATCCCATTCTTCACCAATAAATTCTCTGACAGTAAGAAAATAAGAACTCAGAGCACACAATAATTGCATGACATCATCATCAACCATGTTCCCACATAGCAATCAATTCCATGCAGTCATGTGTTAAAGCTACAGCATAAGGAGGATTGCATTGGATGCAAGATGACTTTTATGCAGTTATATTTGACTACATTATTCTTTGCATAATTTTAAGAAACTATTAGCATCCAAATGTTTTCAGGTATCCACAATGTTGGCAGAAAGTCATAGCACGCATTATCTCTTACTGAAGAATAACTCCTATTGATTTAAAGTGAGATCCTCTCTTTATATCTATCAGTAAAAGAGAACCCCAAAAATAGAAAGAAACAGAGCCAGATTTGGACAGATAACTCTGTGCTTACTTTGATATGTCTATCCACCGGGCTAATGTGCACATTCTCAAGTCGCAACTCTGTATGAGCTAGGCCATGACTATGCAAGTAATTCACCTGACATATATGTAGTAGCCATTCATCATCCCCAAGCCAATTAAGCATGGGATAGCAGAATCGTTAGAAGTAATTGGACGTACGCCAATCAAAAGATCCCTCATTAATATGCGAATAAGCCTCATTTTCCGGGTGACTGCTGGTCCTCCGATTGTATCATCTCCTACCCTTCTAACAGACTCCTCATCCAATGCAAGAGTGGCCTCTAGTGTTGGGAGCCAGTCAACTTGTTGAAGCCAATGTCTCAGCGAAAAACTGCCATGATACTGGAAGAAGAAGAAATGCCTCAAATTTATCTTTGTGTTGTTTGAATTTCAGCGTATACTGAGCCAAATGAATTGAGAATTTAGAGAGCAAATGGTTCTCTGATTTGGAACTGGCAAAATTCCTCAAGGGGATGGAATTTGAAGGCAAAGTTTCTCTTGCACAAAAGTAAAAATGTAAAAATCCCATGGTAAATTCAGGTATGCATTGCCATGCAATTAGCAGCATAGGTGGTTAAATGACAGAGAAGCTTACCCCATGGACCAGCGTGAGTAAGCCACGACTGCTCCGAGATGAGATGTAACCATAAACTTGCATTGAATAAGAATAGTACATGATTTTATGACGAACCAACTTCTTCAGTACCTGCCATCAGATCTCAATTGGAAGTTTACTATGAGTTATCATATGCTACACGATTTATAGGGTGCGAATATCAGTTCACCAACCTCAATAGCTCGTTTCCCACGACGTTTAGCTTGAGAAGAGATGAGTCGTCGAAGAACAACTCTTGTATTATACAGAGGGCTGCAATCAATCCCATGTGACAGGCATTAATTCGTCATATTTCCTAGATAGACCGAAACAAACTTTCTCCCTCCGGACAAAACAAAGGCACCTCACCTCTTGGGATCCGTTGCTATGGCTTCAAAGACCACCTCATCTGCCTGGATAAACCTTCGAGTACTTAGGACAGACTTAACCAAGATTATCAAAGAAACATGTAATGTAGCAAGACATGCGAAATAGCTCATACCCGTCCGCCAAGGCCAATGCTGACAGAATCAAGAACCTTAAAGTCAGACATCTGAAATCTTATAACATGATCCAATTCTTCATCCACGGAAACCGAACGAGAACTCTCAGCAACACCCTTTGATTCCACGGGGGTTGAAGATCTTCTCGATAAAGAGAAGCACATTTTCCGACATCGCCTGGGCGGCATATACAATGAAGGTCCACCAAAATATGCAGACGAAGGTTTTACAAGAAAAGTCGACAGGTTTCCTCTCAAACGTGTTGCTTCTATGCTTTCCACACCCCGAGACATATTGGTGCCGCATAATGCCATGGACTGATTACCTAAATTAGAAAAACACCATAGAGGAAGTCATCCTTCGGCAGATGTATGTGGAGGCGTAAGCATGATCATAGCAATTAGCGGACGTAGCACGCTTTAAAACTGTGATCCACATTGATTTGCTTATCGAATGCAGTAAATGAAATTTGAGATATGCCGAGAAACGAATATTCCGAAATTGAGCCACAACAACCGGCTTGGCAGCTCGGCCAGTAACGAGAGATCACGATCCGCCACCGCAACACCAGCCGCGAAAACAGTCGGGAAGAAAAAAAGGGGAAAAAATCAAACTACCGAGTCCTCCACATTCGAACTAGCGAGGAGGCTCGGAAGCATTCTAACGAGCCTAAAACAAGCGTCGATCGCGCGGCGAAACGGCAAAACGACACAAAGCTCGACTACCAAACAATGGGAATCGCGAACGTATTCTGCAGCCGATTCTTTCACCGGGAGCCGGCATGAAAAACCGACGAGAAACGGCGGCGAAGAGCAGGGAAGCTTCGCCGAGGAAACGATGCGATTCCGGGGAAGCTCTGCAGAGAAACTCACCGGAGAAGACGGCCGGCGGCGGCGGCGGCGGCGGCGGCGATCGAGATGGTTGGGCTGAGGGAGAGAGGCGGGAACTGGAGCTTGCGGGGAGAAGTTGGGAGGGAGAGAGAGAGAGGGAGGGAGGGAGAGTACATGAAGAGAGAGAGAGAGAGAGGGGAACGTGGGAGTTGCGTGGGAGAGTACGGTACGAGCGCAGTCGCCATAGGCTCGGCTCACGTCTACCTCCGCCTCCTCCAAATATCTCTCGGCTCCCCCACGCCGTTTCCCACGTGACGCGCCACGTCAACGCCTCCCCGCCCCCTGGGGGGGCGGACCTCCTCCTCGTTCGGTCGCTCTCACCCTCTTTGGTCTACGGTTCCGCCGCGACATCGTCCTTAGGCCGCGAAACTAGTGAGCCGGGTTGGATCTGGTCCGATCCAAATTGACTTATTTAGACCGATAAATTTGGCGATTCAAACTTGGCTCGTACTTAACTTAATATCTGACACATCGTGATATATTTTTAATAACTTTTCTCTTTAAATTGTTGCCTTTGAATAATGGGCGGCTCCATGGACTGACTTGTGAAGTTAATGAGGGAGCTCGGGGCTCAGGATAGGATGGGGGCGTGAAGGTGGTGGTGAAAATCCGGTCGGAGCCATTCATAAATCATGGTGCGGGTTCACGCTTTAATTTTGGGTTAAATATGTACCGGGAATCTTAATATATTGGACTTGAAGAAAGACCCAACTTACATTTCTCTCGTAACCAAAAAATATTTGTACAAATTTATATTCTTTTGATCATATTTCAAAATTGCACGTTAACGAATATACGATGGATTTCCTACACGGCAAGATACTTATTGAGCAATTATTGCATCATCAATTGTATTTTTTCATCAAGAGGAAATACATCAATCGTATTCAAATCTAAATAGCAACAAGAGAGTACTTAAATTGTCTTCGAAATAATACTACAAGGCTAACAGCCTATCATCGTCGTGAAACATAATAGTCACACACTCAGGTGGGTTGGGTATGGGCATAACCTAAATCATTGAAATCCATATTTAATTGGACTTTATAAATCTAAAGCATCATAACCCATTTTCTTAATTTTGTCTAACTCGTGTATAACCCAGCTTATTAAATATAAGTTAAATAGTAAGTTTTTTACACATTTCGACACCTCTAGTTATCAAAATCGTTTGAGCCCATTTCATCTCAACCGTTATGGCCCCATGCGAGATGTTCTAGTAGCTGAATTGAGATAAAACGGGCCCATCCGTATCAAATGCAAACAAAACTTGCTCAGTCATATATCATCGATAACAACCACTTTGCACTTGCAAGATTGCTTTTACATCGATCTTCAAAATCAAAATTTGTTTTAAAAATTAAAAACAATTGATTTAAACATGTGTGAAAATCTTAATTATTAATTTAATGATTGAATTTGAAATATTTGTTAATTTTTTTGGTAAGATGGAAATGTAAGTTTACAAGCTCACAATAATAAATTTTACTTTTGTGAAAAGAAACTACGAAGCAAATTTAAAAGCACGATTTCATGAATTTTCCAAATTAACTTTCGATAAGGTTATTCTTTTTTTTAGAATAACTCATCACCGCTAAATCAGAATGACATACATGGCTTCTTACAATCTCGTTTATGGTTTTGTCTAGCTTAAGAGCATTTTAATAACGTTCATTGCCATTTCAATATTTTCTCCTGTTGATAAAAATAAAATTTATGCAGTGTTTCAATTTCTATTTTTGACCCTACCAAAGAAAAGTGACAAATATAATTTTTTTTTTCCGATTTCTTCTATTCTTATAGGACGTAGTCAGTAAATTTTAAGGGAAAATGACACAAATAGTCATCAAATTATGATTTAACGTGCAATGTGGTCCTTAATCTTTTAACTTAATGTGCAATGTAGGCCCTAAACTTTTAATTTGTTCAATGTGGTCCATGAACTTTTGGCATATGTTCAAATTAGTCCTTAGATTATATGATAATATTCAATATTTCCATGAACTTAAATTAATGGAAGGATAACATTAATTGTTTTTATATAGTTTAGGGATTAATTTAAATATTTACAAAAAGTTTCATAGACCGCATTGCATATTGGACTAAAGTGGGGGAGCCACAATAAACAAATTAAAAGTTCGGGGACCACATTGCATATTATGCCGAAGTTCATGGACCATTGGTGTCATCATCCCAACTTTTTAATATGCTTTATTGCGACATTTGCTTAACTAAACATTGAAGCGGAAAAACCATTGTCTATGCTTTTTCCGAGGAAAAATCGAACAAGAAACTCAATGAAATTTTTTAATATACTTCTAACTAAAAAGGACTATAATATGGATTTCTTAATTTATATTTAGTAAGATGGAAATACAAACTCATTTTTTCTCATTTTCATATTTTGTAACGATAAATAAACCCCAATGAAAATTTTAATGTCCAATTCTTGCTAGAATGAATTTATGTATATAGCAGAATATAGACACATATTTTCTTTGCTCTAAAACATAAAGTTCGATTTATCCGATCAATTACATCGCTACGAGACTATGAGACTACTATGCAATTAGAATACGGAATTGTTGATTCGACGTGATACCGTGATGGATTGAACTATATGCTCCACTCCGATGTTTGTGAACGAGTTTGTGATTTTGACAATGCAGATTTTCTACTAAAAAAGAAATAAAAAAGGGTCTTGAAGCCATCATCAACGACACTTGTATTAGTTCACTTCTTCAATTGTTAGGACAACTGAAATGAACGTGATTTCCGCAATCCAAGAAAGTAATTACACATTAAATTGGTCTTGGTCGCAGTCATTACAACACAGAAACATATTGTCACGAGGAAAAAAGTACACAATGAGTTAGCCACCACAAATCATCCAAATAAATGGTCCTTTAATTGTTCAGCGAAAAAGGAAAATTATATATATGAAGTGTCCATTTTTGTTTCAATAAATTACAATTATTATGAGTAATAAAAGATATGACGTGATAAGATTGGATCACCGCAAATTTTGCTCTCTGAAAGGTTTTGTGCTTTTGAATTTTTTCGCCTCCTGAAATGATTTTTCACACACGAGATGAAATCACACTTGCCTCAGGATTAACGTTTTTTTTTTTTTTTGGAGCTTAACCACCTATTTATTTCACTTCCCCAGATTGATCCTTCTTTTAAATTTTTTTTTTTTAATCCAAACTGCTTTCGAAACTGGCTCACGAAAAGCTGTCCCTCCGAGGTCAAATTTAAGACACAAACACAAGGACAAACCCCCCCCAAGTACAGACACCCCCAACGAATCTCTCCCGGTCCTAAAAACACCCGACCCCGACCCGACCCGAACCGGATTGGCTCCGCCAACGTCAGCATGCCATCCTCCCCACGTGTCGGGACCTAACTGGACGTTCCGCGCCTAGGCAGGCAATCTCGAATCACCACCGTCCGTCGGAAACCCCTCGAACCGCAATCGACCGTCGCGGCGGCGGCGGCGGCGGCGGCTCAGCCAAGTCTCTCTAGGTCTTCATTTCCCCCCCCTTTTTTTAATTAATTTATTCAAATTTAGAAATAAAAAAACGGAAAAAAAATTGGGAAAAATTCCAGGGTAATCGACGAATTCACCAAAATACCACGCCTCTGATCAACCCCCTCTCGAGTCTCACAACACGCGCACCCTTCTCCCTCTCCCTCTCTCTCTCTCTCTTTCTTCTGGCCCATGCTGCTTCGACTTTAATCCCTAGAACCACCCGAGCAGAAAACTTCCTCGCGGTGGTCTTCTCGTCATTTCGTCCCCAATCTCCGGCGATCTGCCTCCGTCTCCGGCCGCACCCGCCGCCGTCGCCGCCGTCTCCTCTTCCGGTTAGGTCTTCCGTTCTCCCCCTCCAGTCCTTGCATTTGCTCCGAGGTCCCGATCTTCCTGTTCACCACTCGCGCGATTTTGATTCCGTGGGTTTTGCTCCGTCCGCGATTCGACTCGCTCAAATTTTAGTTCGGGACGCTCGATACAGTTGATTGTACAGTTCCGGCGGAAGTTTTGTCGGAGCGATTTGAGGAAGTAGGGTTTTTTGTTGTGTCGGGGGGGGCGAGCGGATCTTAGCTTTCTAGTGTCCGAGTGTTGTTCGAGGATTTGCGGTTAGGGGTTAGGGTTTTCGATTGATTACCAGAGATGCCGAGGAGTTCGCGCCACAAGTCGAGCAAGCACAGCACGAGGGACGCGAGGGATTATTCGGACTCGGAGGACGACTCGGGCTTGAAGGAGCGGAAGGCGAACGAGGAGGGCAATGCTAGGGTTCCGAAGGACATGGGCCCGAGCGAGAAGCGGAAGGTCGATCCGAAGGATGGCAAGGAGCTGTATGGTTCTGGGAACGGAGAGTACTTGGATGAGTACAGTTCTTCGAAGAGGCGGAAGGAGAAGGTGGTCGATGGAGCGAGCGATAGGTGGAATGGGGGTGGTGAAGCGGATGAAAGAGGGGGCGATGGCTCGAAGAAGGCCAAGGGGGTGAGCGAATCGAAGAGTAGGCGAAGGGATGATGAGATTGAGGAGATGAAGAGGAGTGGGGGAAAGAGTGAGAAGCACAGGGAAACGAGTCGGAAGGAGGGGAGAGATAGCGAAAGGAGAGGGAGAGAAGCCAAAGGAGAAAAATCGGGTGATAACGAAGAAGGAAGGAGCTCTAAGCGTGAAATTACTACTGGTAAGGTAACTTATCCCTTGTAAAATTAGTAAGTTTTTGTTTGGCCAAAATGCAGGGATCATAACAAGCATTTGTCAAATATATGCTGAGATTCATTTTGTTAAAAATATATGATGGTTGAATTGTGTGCGGATTTGCTTGGTGGTGTTACAGTGTAGAAGTGTTATTGAGAGCAGGTGAATAGTTGAATTTTTAAGTGAAAATCTTCTTCGTAAAAAGGCCTCGGATTGTAATGGTGCTCTGGTTTGCTTTTCTAGGTCCCCAGATGCTAGTGCTCTTGCAATTTGAATTTTGTGACGGGCTATATTTGATGTATAAACAGTTTGTTACTGGCTTAAGGGCTTCTATCTATGCCTTTCGGGGTGTAGACACTGCTTTTTGGAGGCTTTGATAGTTGATGCTAATGCCATATTCAATATAATTTGAGAGTGCATTGTTGAAGATTTTAGGAGTACTCGTGTTGGTTGTTAATAGAAGCAGGTGTGCTTTCAGCCTCTCTGGGAAGTTATTTAGGAATGGACCTGAAGAATGTTTGTGATAATCAATTGATTGGAGTTTTACATTACTCGAGGGCTTTTGCTTGCATATTTGTTCTTTGACGTTTCTCCTTTTCCACAAGACGTTCTTTTTCTGAAAAGTGAAGAATCGGGAGAAAGTAAGGAAGAAAGAATTAGTGTAGCCAAGGACGTCTGCTGGCCAGGATAAGTCTTTTTGTCAAGTGACTGCTCGAAGCTTAAGCCTCTGATATTTCCTTTTCGTTATCTCAAGGTTATTTTGCTGCTAGTGCTTAAGTCTGAATCTAGTGCTACTAGCAGACCTGCTTTAACATAATTTATCTTGATCTGATTCGTCCAACTTTCCTCTTCCTCTGGAAAAAAAGAAATTACTTATATTTTAAAATTTTTTGTCTGAAAAACTATGTTGCACAGTGAATACAACAGGTCCCTTACTGTGAAATGTGACATACACTTGTTTGTGGTATTTAAGTTCTATCTGAATAATAATAGCGGACCAGCCTCTTTACAGTTTGTTGGGGAAATTTTGACTTGGGGAGCGCAATGAAAAATTGTCTTTAGAAAAGCCATTCTGGCTGGTTCTTGTAGTGGTAGTTCCTCTGTAATGGCTTGCAGCTTGGATTTGTATGTTTGGTTTTGCAGCCATTCTCTGCTGCTTCTTTGTCTTCTTGAGTTGGAAGGGACGTTGATTACACCTTTTTTTGAGCTTCCTGATTTTAGATATCCCAGGGCCCAACATCCATGACAGTGCAATAGATTCTGTGTGATGCTCAAATCATGAAATAGCGTGTAATTATTTTCTTTCGATTCTGCTGACTGGAAATTGTAAAGCGAAGACAATCTAAGTCTTTGGATTCGACTTCCTCTGAAGTCAATTCTGCAACAACTTTGCTATTCAGGTTGTTAGATTAGATATTTTACTCTTAATGGCTGAAGGGATTGGATTTGCTGGCGTGTGACATCCCACCCAGTCAAATTTGATTGGAATGTTATATACTTGCCGAAATAAATTGCTCGAATTTCCTTTTTCGCGCTTAAGTGATGGGTCAATGATCCACTGCTGTACTTATGGCGGGGCTCAATTGAGGAAAGTTGAGCGTCTTTTTAGTAAAGTGCATGTTGGGTGAGAGGCTGTATTTTTACATTATTTGATTCAAGGTTGGCTGTCATACATTTTATTGGGGAAGTTGGATTTGTTTACTTAATGGGGAAACTTCCACGTCACCAATAAGCAGAATAAGTGCCTTTGATGTGGAGTCTTCTGGGATTTATATTCTCTTGATAGTACAGTGGGCGTAGAGAAAGAATCAGGATATGAGGAATTTCAAAATTTCTAGGCGGCGTCGGAGAGGTCCTCCCACCCCTCCCTCCCTCCCTCTCTCTCTCTCTCTCTGGGAGTCTAGTTTGCTTTCTCTGTGCCTTGCTTTCATAATCTTATTAATATAATTTTACAATCTTGTTATAGGATCGAATTCGTGATTTAGATTCTGCAATTTGTCATCTTATCTAATAATTATGTTTCTTCCTTTCAAAACCTTGCTGCTTTGAGGGGTTCTGTTTGTTGTAAATCTGATCTCTCGCTTGTTGAATTTAGTTGATGTAAATGTTGCCCAAGGTCAATTGTAGCAAAAGCTCATTGTTGAATGCCGTGCTCATAACTGGAAGCATCTTTGATGGTTTAGAATGCCAAACCCTGAAGGCATATAACTTGTGCTGTACATATTAAATTCCCAAATTATTTTGTGTCGTTTATATGCAGTAGAGTGTTAAAATTCTTTTCCTTGCACTCTTGGACATTTGTCGTGGGACATTAACCTTCTAGATTACTAATGATCTACTCATGATGATACCCGATCCAAATAGAACGTTTCTTGTAAGATTACACTTGCAACCATGATCAGGCCTCATCTGCTTTATTTTGGATTTGTAGAGCTTGGATCTCCTACTCCTCCCCGTTCTCTTTCCATTTTACATGTATATGCTTTCAAGGTCCGTCTGAATTTGTCACGACCTTTAAATGTTGTGCATTAGCCTATGTGGCTTGGATGCTCTATTTCAAGCAATTTATTTTTATGTCTGATTCTCCTCTTGTGACAGCAGCTTAGATTTTATAATCCTTTTATTTGGTGTCAAGCATGCGGTTTTGCTTTTGCCATTTACTGGTACTGCTGTGACACCATACACTGTGGCTTGGATGCTAGATTTCAAGCAATTTATTTTTAAGTCTGATTCTCTTGTGACAGTAACTTAGATATTTTAAGCCTTTACTTGGTGTCAAGCACGCAGTTTTGCCTTTTCCATTTACTAGTATTTCTGCTACACCATACAAATGCTATGAACTGTTGTAACTTTTATTTATTATGCATAAACAAGCATGAGTTAATAATTGGTGAAGGGAGGATGGAGTTTGTTTTAGTGCGATCTCCCATTTCTTTCTACGTCCTAAATTTTTCAATGTTCTTTTAGGTGATTCATTGGTGTCAGAGTAATTGCTTTTGCATGTGCAATAATTTGATTTACCAATGAAGAAGTTTTTTGGTTTTAGCTAAGCTAACAAAGATAGTTCAATTCCCTTGTTATCCACAGGCAATATGCAGTTTCTAAGACCAAGCATGGGGACAGGATTGATTATTTAACGCTAGGCTAATCATAACTGTTGACTAAGTAGCTATTTTTTGGTTCATGTGGCTACATCTATTGTGTCTTGTCGACTGGATAGTTTGCATCATATTTCATGCACGACTTTTAGTGAAATTTGTGTTCCATCCTTCACAATTTAGTTGTGTTAAACAAGGTGATTCTTTGATTTAGTACCATGCAAAGATTAAGCTTATTGTTATCTTACTTTCAGAGTCAAAAGCAGAGGCAGCAGTGCAAAACCCTGACTCATTATCGGAAAGCCTACTTGAAGGACGAAGTAAGAGGAGGAGAGATGACTCTGCTGATTGGAGCAAGTATCAAGATGACATTGGCGATGGAAAGAACAGGCATGCTTCGTCTGTGGAGGATGCTGCGAAGGATGTAAGGCGGAAAGATGAAAAGCAGAGAGATGATAGGTACAGGGATCGGTACCGGGAAGAGGTTGACAGGGACAGCAAGAACCGTATTGAAAAGAAGAAAGATGAGTTTCCTGCAAAAGATCGCACTGGAAGCAAATCCAATGATAAGTACTTGAAGGATGATCGAGATAATACTGAGGCTCGACAGAAGAAACCTAAGCCCCATGATGGACTTCGTGAGCATGACATTGATTCTGCCCGTGATCATGACCATGACAGGGACCAGGACAGGGACAGGGAGCATGATCAGGATGGATACCGAAGTCGAGATCGGATTCGGAGTGGTGAACGTGATCGTAATCCTGCTCGGGATAAGGAGAGGGATCGTGACTGGGAGCATGATAACGACCGAGACCGAGATCGAGACCGTGACCGTGACCGTGAATGGGAGGTTGAGCTTGCTCATCATGATGATAGAAGTATTAAGTACAAAGATCGCAGAGGAAGGAAAAGATCTCCAGATGATCATGATGATTATAGTGATAGTAAACTTCGAGGTAGTAAAGCTCATAATTCTGATTCAGAAAAGAGGTCTTTGAGTGGAAGCAAAGTTGAGGCAGATGGTAGGGTTGGATCTCAATCTCGTCAAGTCCATGCCGAAATCACTGTGAACAGCAGTAGACGCCGAGCCTCACCGACTTTAAGTTCACATGGTGGCACTGATGAACATAGGTACTAAAGCAACTCATTTGCTATCAACTTGGTTTAGAAGTTTGCGTGTCAAATTACTTTGTCTTTCTATGCCCTTAAGAAACTTTTTCTATCTGATTTTGTTGATTTTTGATAGCGAAATGTTATTTTTTGTTTAATTCAGGCATGTTAGGCAAGATGACCTAAAGTACAGGGATCTGCCAATCGAGAGTCGGCCGAAAGCAACAGAGAGAGGTTCAAAATACAGATCTCTGGAAAAGACAAGTAAAATGGACGATGGTCACTATGTGGAGTTGTCGGGTGAAAGATCTTCAAGCAAGGCATCACCCATGGGCTTGGTGGAAAGATCTCCTTCATCACCCAGTATAGAGCGTAGACACATGCATAGAACTGGTGTTAGGAGAAGTCTTGATGTGGAAGAACAAGGACGAAGTAGCCGTGCTTCTGCTGATGCTAGAGATTTGTCTGTCGGTGAGGGGAGATTCACTCGTGATATACCTCTAGACAAACCAGTATTAGATGAGTCCCCTCAAGCTGATTCATCTTTCTACAATAGACCTGGTCAGAGGAGTTCTTCAATACCTCCACCACCTTTCAGGGCTGGAGTGGAAAGCCCTACTTTCATGGGATTGGAAGAAGATGGCAGGAATAACCTAAATGCCCGTTACAAGCGAAGTGGGGATCTGAACTTGGGGAGAGGGCCCGTGAATAATTGGAGGAGTGTACCAAATTGGTCTCCAGTACCAAATGGTTTCATGCCTTTCCAACATGGACCGCCTCATGGAAACTTCCAAGGATTGATGCCACATTTTCCTTCTCCTCCATTATTTGGTGTTAGACCTCCAATGGATATTAATCAGTCTGGTATACCTTATCCGATGGCTGATACTGACAGATTTTCTGGCCATATGCGCCCACTGGGATGGCCAAATATGATTGATGCATCTGGCCCTCCTCGCTTGCATGGATGGGATGTGAACAGTGGTGCTCTGAGGAATGAACCTCCGATATATGCTGGACCTGATTGGGATCATAGTAGGCATCCGGTGAATAGTCGAGGATGGGAAACTAGTGCAGACATGTGGAAGGGGCATTCTGGTGGTGCTAACGTGGACTTGCCATCCACATCCCATAAAGAGTCCATTCCAGGGCTCTTTCCCATGAATGAAGGCTCTGCTGGGCAAGTAACTCAAAAGCCCAATAATGAGGATAGCCATGAGCTTGTTCAGGCAAAAGCTGCTGAAATCAAGGCCAGTGTTACTTCTTCCGAGAAAGAAACCTCCAAGTCTTCTACGGAGATAGCTGGTGAAAACAGACCCGATTCTTCCAAGTCATCAGAAAGCAATAAGCGCATGAATATTAGCCGGATCTATCTTTCTAAGCTTGACATCTCAAAAGAGCTTGTTCATTCAGAGGTGTATCAGTGCTGCATGAACTTATTGGATGGGGATCTAAACTGTACTGCTGATGAAGACCCTATAGCGCGTGTCATTCTTAAGGTAAAAGCTCTCTCACACGCGCACACATCCAAGCGCATACACACATCTTATATGCACTCTTTTAATTATTTTTGGTTTTTGTGCAATAGAATCACCCAAGATTGGAGCCGAAGGCGTCGGATGGTTCATTGAGCAGTTCGCTGTTTCCTGCTATAAATGATTCTGTTTTTCAGGTGAGTAGAATGGATGAAGATGTGAATTGCTTGTTGTACGTATTCATTTGTTACAGTGCTGGTTGTTGGTTTGATCACATGGAACTGCTTATTCAATAAATTACTTTTATTCAAGAAATTACTTTTCATTCATTACTTGTAGTGTTGAATATGATAGGATTTGTGCAGTCATGATTCATGAATGCTGAAATTGTTTTATCTTGCAGAAAGCAATGGACCTGTACAAAAAGGAGAGGCTAGAAACTAGGGATATTGCCATGTCTAAAGGGGGATTGCTTGATTTTGTATTGTCAACTACCCTGAATAAGGTGAAGGAGCAAGACCGAGTCGGCCACGTGGTTGAGAAGGAAGAGCCAGCTCGTACAGTTGATGAAAGGATACAATCACCAACTTCAGCTGTTGATCAAATGGAAGTAAAAGCAATTTTAAGTGCTGCGGGGGAGGAAAAGCTTGGGGACTCGGTTGCGATTTCTAGGAAGGATGTTCCAGAACCTATACTTGTTTCTTCTTCCAAGAAATCAGGACAGGTTCAAAAGGTTCAGGGGTATCTGGGGGAAGATCCAATAGGATTATCTCCTGGGGAGAAGGGAGATTCAATACACATGTCAGTGAATCTGGATGATGCACGTGCAGATCACATTTTATCGCGTGATCATGCTTCGCAAGCTGCTGCCGTTTTGCCCATTGATGACAGTGGCACAGAGTTGGTGGTCAAGACTGCAAGTGATCATGTTTCTGAGGAAACCGGGCATTTTGGTAATATAGTAGGCGATTCTTTAGTTGTTGATGGTCCTTCCATTACCCACGAGGCATCAATGCCCGGGTCAAATGAGTCTCACCTGGTAAATTTAAGTCGGATACATCATTCTCCTGAAAGTACACATTAGACGTTTTCTATATCCATGCATTTGTATGTGCTTTATTTCCAAAGTTATCTGCCTTCTCCTTATCATGTTTCTCTCCCCTTTCAGCAAGGAAATAAAAGAAATCTTGTCTCTGGGCCCCCCCAGAGAGGAGATTTTTGGCGTATTGCATATGTTTTTCTCTTGACCTTTTCCTTTACCTGCTCTCGTCTTTGGTTCTGGCCGTCTACTGCATAGTTTTTGCAATACATCTTAGATATATCCTAATGAAGAGAAGTTCGGTTACTTTTTTGTGGATAGCAAGTTTTCACATGAACTTTTTGAGAGATTGACCATATAAAAAAAAAAGATGGTCACTCTATATTTACGTTCCGCACTGCCTGAGGAAAAATTATTTTGTAATGGCGGCATCTCTGATTGAAAGCCTAAATGCATTACATTGTTGCCTTTAGACACTTGCGCGAACATAATCAATACTTTGGCTGTTAAGATTGGAGTCTTACTGCATAGGATTTCGTTGATCATCTTGGTTCATTTTGAAAGGAGTAGTAGGTTTTTGGATTCAACCCGGCCATTGTTTGAGTTGGGATCGATTGTTGATTGGTCGATTTGAAGTTTTTGAGCATGCCGATACACGGGTCGAGCTTAAGTTTCATTAAAGTAAACGAGTGTTTTATGCTACATAATTGTTTAACTTTGGTACGTCGGATGTGCAATTTGTGGACTTAACGAGTTTTGAACCAATGTGGCAATTAATGGACTAGTTTTTCAGATACCCATTTCTCCGCACATGGTTTATTTCTTTCCTCTTTTTTTTTTTTTTAATAAGGAGTGACTGAAAAAATAGTATGGGACTTCCAAATGCCATTTTTAATGGAAAAAAGACTTCTATTAAGTATTTTATAGGGTTAATACCACGAAAAACCCTAAACTGGTACACTTGTAATACATTTACCCCAAACTATTTTTTTGACCATAAAAAACCCCAAACTGGTACACCTGTAATAATTTTACCCCGAACATACCACAAAAAACCCCAAACTGGTACACATGTGACAATTTTGCTCCGAACTAATTTTTAATATTATTTTTTTGAATTTTTTCTTTTCTTTTCTTTTTTTTTCCTTCAACTTCAACCTTTGGCCGGTCGCCACCGGCGACCGGCCAAAGGCGGAAGCCGGCGAGGGCCACCCTCGCCGGTATCGGGCGAGGGCGACCTTCGCCTGCGTCGGGCGAGGGCTGTCCTCGCTTGCCCAGGGTAGGGGCGACCCCTCGCCCGACTCAGGCGAGGGCGGCCCTTGCCCGACGCAGGCGAGGGTCGCCCTCGCCAGATCCGGCTCGGGCAACCCTCGCCGGCGTCGGGCGAGGGCTGCCTTCGCCTGCATCGGGCCAGGGCCACCTGACGCCGGCCCTCGCCGGCTTCCGCCTCTGGCCGGTCGCTGAACCGGCAACCGGCCAGAGTTTGAAAATGAAAAAAAAAAAGAAGAAAAGAATAAAAAATGAATAAAAATTCGAAAAAAAAAAATATTAAAATTTTAATTCAGGGTAAAATTATCACATATGTACCAGTTTGGGATTTTTTGTGGTAAGTTCAGGGTAAAATTGTCACAGGTGTACCAGTTTGTGATTTTTGGTGGTAAAAAAAATAGTTCACGGTAAAATTATCACAGATGTACCAGTTTGGGGTTTTTTATGGTAAAAAAAATAGTTTTGGGTAAATGTGTCACAAGTGTACCAGTTTAGGGTTTTTCGTGGCATTAACCCTATTTTATATAGCTTGTCCCATTTTAGCCTTATTGATTGCGCCTTATTGATTGTGCGAGTTTTCTGATATAATACGCGTGTTTCGAATTTTTTATTGTTTGATCCTGAAATTTAGATTTAAATCTTAAAAGAGGAAGATAGTAAATATAATAAAAGGGTTGATTGAAACAATAGGATATACCTGAAAGAAGAATATTCCTTTCTTGGGCATGACAAAGTTTAGGAGGGAAGGTTACCAAATGCAAGGTCGGGACAATACCACATGCCTAAAAGATCTTGTAGTGGATTTATAGATCGCCTAACGAAGGGCACTGCCGATAGTGGGATTCGAATTTGAGTGAAGAATTCGAATAAGCAATATTAAGTATCATATACAAAAAAGCAAACCTTCCTAGAAATTGAGTTGTTTTTTTTGTTAAGGTCTGTACTTTGGGTTTTTATTGATACATGACTTGTTCTCACTGACAAATACGAAAAATAATACAAAACCTTCATAGCACATGTGCGATAAGTAGTGCCAACAAGCGTGATATAATAAGTTTTGCGAATATCATGTCTTAAATGAAAAATAATACAAATAGTTTCTTAACTTTGGCTTAATATGCAATGTCATCTTTGGACTTTTAACTCGTTCAACATGGTTCTTCAACTATTCCTAAATGTTCAATCTAGTCCCTCAACTGTCAATTTATATAATCTAATATCTCAATCTTCCATAACAAAGTTTAATTAGTCATTCAACAATATTCTCAAATTTGGAAAATTACCAAAACAATCATAAACTTGTTGCAATTCTGCTCATTCAGTCCTAAACCTTTTCCAATTGTGCCAATTGTCCATTTGGCCAATTTTGGTAGGGCTGACGCTGACGTGGAAATTTTTATAAATATATATATTTTTGATTTTTTAAAAACCTTTTCTTTCCTTCTTCTCCCTGTTTGGTGCCAGAGGCTAGGGCCGGCAAGGTCGGCCTCACCGGGACCTTGCTAACCACTGGTGAGGCTCACCCTCGTTGGTGAAGTCGAGCTCACTCTCCCCGTTGTTGGGCGAGAGCTAGTCTCACCATGGCCGGATGAGCTCGACCTCGCCCAGCGATGGCGAGGTCGAGCCTCACTAGTGGCCGGCGAGGTATCTCACCAACCCTAGGCTTTGGTTGGTTCGGCGATTAGCCAGGGGAAGAAGGAAAGAAAAAAAAAGAAAGAGAAAGGAAAAAAATAAAAATAGAAATTGAAAAAAAATAGAATTTTTTTTTAAAAATTGCCACCAGCCAATCGATTGGAGTTCACGTTAGCGTCGGCCGGCCAAAATTAGCCAGATGGACTGAATTAGCACAATTGCGAAAGATTTATGATTGAATTGGCAAAAAAAATGTTTATAACTGAATTAGTACAATTGCAATAGGTTTATGACTATTTTGGTAATTTTCCCCTCAAATTTTTATAACTATAATGTGGCCCAGATTTTAGATATCTTTTCATTTCAATCTATTTCACAAATCAACAAAAAAATATGCTATTTTTTATTACCTTTTTTAAAACCTTTTTGGTCTTTACAAATATTACGATATTTAAATATTTTTTAACTTATGATCTCTATAATAGTAAAAATATGACCTCATATGAATATTTGATAATGATATTTATTTATCAACAGATTTCTCATATGTATATTAATCTAAATCTTGTTCATAATCCTTTACATAGAGAAAATTTCAATTTTTTGTGTTTCATGTTTTCTTGATTAAAATTTATTTATATTTGTAAATTAAAAACAAAAATAGCAGAAATATCAACTTGATGCAATAGTAAGTGAGGTTTTACTTTTACTATTATGAAGATTATAAACTAAAATATACTTACATAGAAGGGAAAAAAATACAAAAAATCGCAAACTATACCCATTGTGACACATTTACCCAAAATTATTTTTTGTGACATAAAAAATCCCAAACTATACATATCGTGACACATCTACCATCCGTTACAATTCTGTCCAAAATTACTGTTAAAAAGCTAACGGGGATACCACGTGGCACTTTTAGAGACACATAGCTCTGATAGCGTCACATAGGAAAAGAAAAAAATAAAAAATTTCACTGTTCATCGTCTTCTCCACAGCTTCGTGAGTACTGTTCATGATGTTCTTCGTCTTCAATCGGTTGGCCAAACTCCTCCAACGCTCTTGCTTTGCTGGCCACTGCTATCTAGACCTCCGGCGGCTCTCGTTGGCACTTGCCCGACCATCCGCCAACTTTGAAGATCGAGGTTTAAGCCAAGCTTTGAAGCTCGTGGCTGCCATCTTCAAGCTCGAGTAGTCATGGCGGCCGCGAGCTTCGAAGCTTGACCTTCAAGCCAAGCTTCAAAGCTTGGCCTTGGCTTCTTGCGACCACCCGGGAGCTTCGAAGGTCGAGGTCAGATCTCAAGTCAAGCTTTGAGCTAGAGCGGTCATGGCGGCTGTGAGCTTCGAAGCTTGGCCATGGCGGCTTGCGACCACCCATGAGCTTTGAAGCTCGACCTTCAAGCTGCATCGAAGCTTGGCCTTGGCGGCTTACGACTACCCGCGAGCTTCGAAGGTCAAGGTCAGACCCTCAAGCCAAGCTTCGAGCTAGAGCGTTCATGGCGGCCATGAGCTTTGAAGCTTGGCCATAGCGGCTATCACCCGCGAGCCTCGAAGGTCGAGGTCAGACAAGCCAAGCTTCGAGCTGGAGAGGCCATGGTGGCCTATCAAGCTCGACTTTCTTGAAACTTAGTTTTTGTACTGTTCTTCCTCACGGAGAAGAAGATGAACAGTAATTTTTTTTCCCTTTTTCCAAGGTCAAGCTTCGAAGCTTGGCTTGAAGGTTGAGTTCGAAGCTCGCGGCGGCCATGGCTGCTCGAGCTCGAAGCTTCGCTTAAAGGTCGAGCTTTGAAGCTCGCGGCCGCCATGGCCTCTTGAGCTCGAAGCTTGGCTTGAACCTTGATCTTCAAAGCTGGTGGATGGTTGGGCAAGCACTTACGAGAGCGACCAGAGGTCTAGGTAGTAGTGGCTAGCGAAGCAAGAGCATCGGAGGAGTTTGGCCAAATGATTAAAGACGAAGAATGTCATGAACAGTACTTGTGAAGCTATGGAGAAAACAATGAACAATAACTTTTTTAAAATTTGTTTTTTCCAATGGGGCGCTCGCGTGGCGCCACATCAGAGCCACATGTCTCTAAAAGTGCCATGTGGAATTCACATCAACTTTTTAACGGTGATTTTGGATGGAATTGTAACAGAGGGTAAATGTGTCATAATGTACATAATTTGGAGTTTTAAGTGTTACAAAAAATAATTTGGAGTAAATATGTCACAATGTCATAGTTTGGGATTTTTGGTGGTTTTTTCCCTATATAGAACAATCTTAATATTTATAAAGACCAAAAA